TCAAACATATAATCAGTTTATGGCAGAGAGATGAATCTGTTGACATTAAATTTATAATTTTTTTAGGGATCTGGATTAATGGTTTCAACTGCACAAAAGGTTCAAATGTATCAAGTCTTTCTATACTATTCATATTGGTCCAGTGAAACCAACCTTTGAATTGGTGGGTCCATCCAGAATGACAATAATGTGCCTCAAAGGAAGCTCATTGCAATGTAGCACACTAATACAGCAGAAACACTTTCTACCCAACAATTGTTCAAGATTTGTAAACAAACTCCTTCTTTTTCTGAACCAGTTACAGCGTTTGTTGAATCTCCTCCTATTACTTCTAGAGTTTTATGTACTCCCCAAGAAACCATCCAATTAAATTGTCCAATAGCTGCTTGTTTAACAAGTTTACTAGGAGGCATTACGTTTAACATTAAATGTGTAATATAGTGACTGTCAGGTTCAGAGGTAACACTAATGTGTTTTTCTTTCACAACTCTTTGATGAAATCGTTTGTTACAGGGTTGTGCTTTAAAACTCTGGTAAAATCTTTTCTGCCATCAGCAAATATACCTTTGATTGATTGTAAATGAATTTTTATTTCTTTAAATGTTTTTGCTTTAGTCATTACTGCTTTCCAAGCTTTAACAACTTTTTTAGGATCTACAGCCAAATAGGACATTCCAGGTGTTAATAAGATCTTAAAGAAAAGCTTAAACTACTGTTAATGTTGCAACTGGTGAAATATCAAATCTCAAAGAAGCTTCAGCACTATTACTAATAGACATAAAATTTAGTTTCCAGTTATCAGTTGAAGCAAGTTCACTGTCCATTTCTATTTTATTTGAATTATCATCACTTATAAAAGACTTAACTTTGTTCTATAAAGTTTCTCCCTCTTCTTTTTTTCTGATTTTTTTTTTCTAGAGTTGACTTTCTTTTCAGCTTCCTCTTTTCTAAAGAAACCTGTCTAAATATTTCTTTAGTATCTTTACAAGTGATTTGATATTTTTATAGTGACCAAGTTTTTTTTTCTTTAAGCTTTTCCTCTAGAAATATCACTAAACTTATTTCAGTTTTTTTATTTTTTAGTTTTATTTTCTGTACAAAGATATCTTGTTTAATACCAAAGGAAACTTGAAAAGAGCATTCAATCTTGTCCACTGTTGAAATCAGCCTCCTTAAAAATAAAACAAACAATAAAAGGTTTGACTTAGTGAATACAAGTACGTATAAACAATATTTCTGCAATCTTTAAATGTGACAGTCCTTTTATGTGTTTTCATTACATACTTGTCAATATCTTTTTCAACGAGCAAACATTTTTGTATTAAAAGACCCTTCCTCAGGATATCTCTAATAAAAGGCTTTTTTTATCCAAATTAAATCTAGTAATTTTAGAAGCACTCATTCTTCCTGTTAATATTAAATAAATACTAACAATTAACAAAACTGGAAATCAACCAAACCGGAAGTAAAGTACTTTTGCACTGTCAATTCATGTATGAGTTAGAAGAATGCACCATACAGAAGTAATTTATTTCCAGTTTTATTGATTGCTAGTATGAATAAATGAAAACTTAAATACAAAAATATTTCAGAATGTGATGTATTGTATTCTTTCCAGAGTACATGCAGAAAAGTACATAAGTACAGGAGTGTACATTATGTACATTGTATGCAAAGTACACTTTTGTACTGTATTAAACATTTTGTACTGTATTAAATATTTTGTAATGTATTAAACATAGACAATAATGCACACTTCTGTGCATTGTAATAAATATAAAAAATAACTATTTAAAAATAACCTACAACTTTTCAGAATTTTGCATTTCTAAATATACAGGGCCGAGGACGAGATTTTTAAAGTTAGAGGAAAAGCGAGGGGTAGGGGAGTTTAGGGGGAGGCACAATCATCAACTACACGATTTTTTTTGTATAAGCAACTCGTTTATAAGCAACTGAACTCGATGTGAAAAAATATTAAGCAACTTCAATTCTGAACAAATGTTAACATAAGCAACTCATAAATTGCATTTTTTTTCTCTGCAATGTAATGACTTCTTTTAGATAAACGATTTCAAAAGAAAGTAATCACAGTAGTGTTGTTGTTGTGTATGTTGTTGACAACGCTGTTAAGATCATGAGTAAGAGAAAGCAGACAAATTTGTTCAACTTTGGTTTTACCAAAAAGATTTGTCATCGTGGTGAGTTGGTAAATGTAGTGCCGAAGGAAAAAGAAGATAATTTGTTTGAATGCATTGTTTGCAAAAAATCACTGAAAACATCACAAGCCCTTTCGATGCACGAGTTTTGGTGTAAAAATAAGTTATCACATACGAATATTGCTCAAACTGACAAAGACTCGAAATCAATGAGCTTGGATCAAATCATTGATGGAAAGAACAAGTACGATAATATTGAAAAAACTGTGAAATCGGTTTTAGAGAAGCTTGTTACTGATGTTGAAGCTAACGAATTACCAAAAATTGCTGACAAACGGAAGAGCTATACGTTAAAAGAAAAGGTGGATGCGCTAAATGACTTATACGATGGTATGTTAAGTAGGGATGTAGCAAAAAAGTATAACGTTCATAAGAGTATGATTACGCGATGGAAATCAAAGGAAAAAGAAATCTACAACAAGTACAACGAAAAAAAGAAAAACGCGTTATTCAGGAAACGCCGAAGAGGCGACAAACACAAAGCTTTGTTTAACAAACTTTATGACAAATTCTCCGAAGCAAGAAAAAAGGGGCTAAAAGTTAACTTTAAGTGGTTGTATGTCCGAACAAATCAAATTCATCTACAACAAAGCCCGAATGCTGACAGATTGCCAAAACCAATAGTCACTCATTTCTTAAGGAAAAATAAGATCCGCATGCTGTGTGTTCAACGTAAGCGCCAAGCTGACGTAAAGAAGTAAACCCCAATTCTGATAAGTTGATTAAGTCTGGAAGTGGCAATTCCACATACGATAAAAAATGGGGACGTTTCCCACAGAAAAAGAGAATCAATGTAGATCAAATTCCACTCCCGTTTGTAGTCGAGAGCAAACGAACATACGAAATTCCAATGAGTAGGGGAAAGGAGCAAAGGGACCATAGAGTATGGGTAGTTTAACCTGGCAGTGGGCTTGATAAGCGACAAGCTACCCTTCAAATATGTTTCAGTCCTGAAGGAATGGTGAAGCCGGCGTTGATTTTCAGAGGTAAAGGGAAAAGGATTAGTCAAGATAAGGCAACCAAATGCATGGGCAGATACAGCGTTTTCCGTGAAATGGGTGAAGAACACTCTCTACAATGTTGTCGCTAACCTGGATGAGTATGTTTTGTTCTGCGATAACCTAACAGCCAAAGTCAGTGATGAGTTTTTGAATGAAGTGCAACAACATAAAGGTTTTGTCTGGTTTAGTGTTCCCAACGGGACACATTTTTGGCAACCTGTTGATGCCGGACCAGCAAAAGCATTCAAATCACATATTAAAGCAGAACAAAACATCTGGCTCGAAAATGATGAAAACATCGAACTCTGGCTTGGCAACGATGATCGGAAACTGTCGGCAAAAGATCGCCGCATTTTGATAACTCTTTGGGTCGGTGAAGCTTACCGTAAAACATCCAAAGACAAGAAATTTCTTCGTATGCTTTATAGGAGCTTTGCAAAAACAGGATGTCTTATCACGGCTGATGGTAGCAAGGACGATAAGATAAATCCTGAAGGCATGCCTGCTTATGTTGTTCCACCCCCTGTTGACATTGGCAACCTGGTGGAAATCACAGAGACTCCTATTCAAGACGAAGTAAAGGATAACCCTATTGATGTTTTGCCTGACGAATCAGAAGGAGAAGACGAGAAACTAGATGGACAAGTAGAAAAATCAGACGGACAAGTAGAAAAATCAGATGGACAAGAAGACGAAGAAAGTGGAGATGAAGAAAATAAAAATCCAGCAGAAGAGAGAAACATTTGTGATCTTTTTTTTAATTAGAATTTAAGTGATTTTAGTTGTAAAGAGCACTCTTCTGTTAAAGACTTGATGTTAAACCATATTTTGTCTCTTATTCGTAAAAACACTGAAATTTAGGCTAAGAAACTTAAGCAACCATTAAGCAACTCAAGATATAGAAATTGGCTAAAAAAATAAGCAACTCGAGTTCTGACCAAAATTCTAAGTTGCTTATACAAAAAAAATCGTGTACTAAATCTAAAAACTTCAAAACCTTTTTATTAAAAAAAAAAAGTCCTTTATAGCAAAAGTGTGCATGAGGGATTGGGGGAAGGCACGTGACCCCTGATCCTCTGACGTCATCAGCCCTGATATAATCTTAAATTTTCAATGCCAACCATGTTACCACTTTTTAATTATTTGTAAGACACAAAGAACATCAAAATTGAACTAATCTCAATGAGATATGACTTTTTTAAATTTTTAAATTTTTACGATATCTTCCTAAAAAAACGAGTTCCCCGCTGGTGAAAAAAAATTTTTTCAATTTTTTTTTTTAATTATTGTTTATTATATATACTGGCACTATAATATTGATGCTAGAAGTTTCTTTGCTCATTTTTGTTTTAAGTGGCGTACCCTAATATATATATATACATATTGTATATATGTATGTATGTATGTATGTATGTATGTATGTATGTATGTATGTATGTATGTATGTATGTATGTATGTATGTATATATATGTGTATATATGTATGTATATGTATGTATGCAGTGCCGTGGCTAGTGGCTTTAGGGCCCCCCCAAACATTCCATTAGGGCCCCAAAGTTTTTTTAAATGCGTTTAAACTGACACTTTTTTTTTTTTCAAAAAGCGCAAGGCGTATCTTTTATAATGCACCGAACATATTTTTAAGTAGTCGTTCACAAGAAAAAAAACAATAAAATTAACCCTTTAATTTAATTAAGTATATTTTATAATTGTTATATTTATTAAGAGTTTAAAACAAAAAGTTTCTTTGACTACTGTGAATGTATTAGGCATTCACAAGTCAAAAACAAGGTTTGCGTCGTGTTTTCATACTTGCAAACTTATTTATTAAGCCTTCATAACTTAATTTCCTTGCCACCTCGTTGTTGATTGACAGCATTGCTAGGGAAGACAAACGTTCATCGACCATTGTTGACCTACATGAAGATACAAAGAAATATAGTTATATGTGTTTACGTATAAGGAAGTAAGAGTATTTATACTGACCTATAAAAAGTTTTAATTAATTTTAACTTGCTAAAGCTACGTTCTGCACTTGCAACAGTTACTGGAGAAGTAAGAATGATGCGTAACGCAATAACTAGATTAGGATAAGTTTCCTGCAGCTCTTCTTTGTAGACGTAGTTAAGGAAGTCATATGTAGATTTCAGGTTTGTATTTTTGTCCTCTTGTACAACTATGACAAATCGTTTCAACTCCATTTCCAAATCCTCAGAATCTATATCACCGAGCTTCGTTTGCAAATTTGTGCAAAATACAGTAAGAGAATTTTCATTACAGGCTTTGATAAGACTCTCAGACCGGTAAAGAAAGTCAAAAAGATTTGTGAAGATACTGACCTGTTCAAAACGCTCCTTTACTGATGCAATTGACATGTCAATGAGTGGCAAAAAGAAATCTGCTTTATACTGATGCTAAGGTTGCCGAGTTTCATCAGCACACTCGTATGAATACATTTTTTTTTTTCGTAAGCGCACTGTTGGAAAAACCTTTTCAATGCCCAATTCTTCTGCAACTTCTTGTGCTTTAATATGTGCGTCATTAAATCCAGTCTCTCGATATTCATAAAGAAATGTATTTGTTGCTTTTATTTCACTAGCCAATATGTCAAGAGAGGTTGTAGAAGACTGAAGAAGTTTACTTGATTTGTTGATTTGAAATAAAACGTCATACCAAATAATGATTGATAATAAGAAAGGCCACGTCCTAATATATTCAATCAGAGATCGTACTTCTGTGGCTGTTGCCCCATCTTTATTTTCAAAGGCATGTTTTTCCAATCTGTCGAGTGCCTCTAAAATTTCTTTCAGATAATAGCGAAGTGGTTTAACACAGTTTATTTTACTTTCCCATCTTGTATCTGATTGTGGTTTGACAGAAATTTCCACACACGATTTTAAAATTTCCCATCGAGGAGGAGACGATGAAAAGAGGGTATACAATCTTGTAAGAACTCCAAAAAAAGATATTGCACTGATAGATGACAGTGCACCATCAACAATAACAAGATTCAGTGAATGATTTGCACATGGAACATATATAGCCTTTGGGTTCATTTCTAGAAGCCTGGCTTGAACACCTTTAAGTTTTCCTTTCATGTTAGCACTATTATCATAAGATTGGTTTCGACAATCAAGTATATTTAGATCCCATTTTTTTGCCTGATTTAAAAAGGCATCCAAAAGCCCTTTTCCAGTGGTATCATTTACTGTGAGATATCCAAAGAAATTTTCGGAAATGTTAATACCTACTCTAGAAGTACATGTCACTGATCTTAAAATTATGGTCATTTGTTCTTTGTGCGAAACGTCTGACGTGCAATCTAAAATAACCGAATAGTATTTTTCTTTTTTTACCATAGAAAGGTTTTCTGATTCAATCTCCTGCGCTAAACATCTAATCAACTCGTTCTGTGTGTCATTGCTCAAATAGTGAGCGTTTGTTTTTTTGTCCTGAATTCTTAACAGAAGCTCCTTGAGGACGACATCGTACTTAGCCAGTAATTCAAACACCCCAAGAAAATTTCCATTGCTCTTTGAACCAATTGCCGTGTCTGAACCACGGAATGCAAGATTTCTTGCTGAAAGAAATAACGTAATGTCCAGTATCCTTTCCAACACAGATCTCCAAAATACCCGCTCTTTATGAAGCAACTTTTGTTGTTGCTCGTCTATGGTAGCTTGATTTGCTATGCCTGCATTGTCAAAATTGAAAAAAAATTAATATTTTAGCAATAAAAAAAGTAACAAAACAAGTTAAATGAAATATCAGTTACCTTTTCGTAATGTCATCCAATGTTCAAAGCATTTTAAATGTGCACTGCATGTTTCGTGTTCTTTAAGTTTTTTTGATAAGCCTTCCCACGTGTTTATTCCTTTTCGAAATGGTGAAGAAGCTATCCCAAAAAGTTTGCAACAGAAACAAAACACTTTATCACTATTTAAAGAATATATAAGCCATGATCTTTCAAAGATTTCTCCATTTTTCATTTTGCGGTTATAATAACTCATGGAAAATCGTCTTCTTTCTGAATTTTTTGGAAAGTCGATTTCAATCTTTTTTAAACCTCGTTTAACAACATCACACTTCTGAGCGTCAGAAACATTATCAGGTCAATCAGAAGGATCATCACTGAGAAATATTAGTGGATTTGTTGTGGCATTTGATTCACAGATTAAACCATGACTTACATTTGACTTTGCATTTGAGTCATAGATTAACCCATCTGACTCTAGTCTAGTACCCAAATAATCACAATCAAAATTATTTGTTGATATCAAAACACTGCTAGCCGGAACTGCCGGTTTTAAAAAATGTGTTAGCTTGGGGTATTTCATGATTTTCTCCATGGCTGCAGCTTTTTCTCTTCTTTTAGTGGCACCACTTTTCACTTTTTTCATTCCAATAATTCCAAAATATTGTAAAAAACTAAGAATGAAAGATAATTATATTTTTTGCTAGGCATAAAACATAAGTAATAGAAATAATAGTAATAAAATAAACTTTACCGTGGTGAATTGGTAAACAGTTGAATTACCAGCAAATTATAGTTAATCAATAAATAACCTAATTAAAAATAATAAATTCGCTTGTAATCATAAAATAAGCGACATACTTTGAAATATATTTCCCGACGAAACGCTGTTTAATGGTTTCTCATTAGCGCGCTAGTAACATCAGACAAACCGCTAAATAACATCAGACAAACCGCTAAAATAACATCAGACAAACCGCTATAGTGGTTTCTCAAAAAACTTCTAACAAAACAAAAGAACTCGGGAGTGTAAACTGTTTTTGCGTAAAAATGACTTTTGCTTTTTTTACTTTTTAGCATGCATAACTTAGTTAATATAATGGTTAAAATGCAAATCTTTTTACTTCACTTAAGCCCTTTTAAAGTTAAAAGATATTTTAACTTTTAAAAAGGGCCCCTAAAAATACTGCCCCCCCCCCTAATTGGGGGTTTGGGGGTGCCTAGCCACGGCTCTGTATGAATGCATGTATATATATATATATATATATATATATATATATATATATATATATATATATATATATATATATATATATATATATATATTATATATATATATATATATATATATATATATATATATATATATATATTTACAAACATATATTTGTATCAGTTTATACATCAAATAAAAAAGATTTTGCAATATCTTTTTTATTTGATGTATAAACTGAACAAAATAAGTTTTTACGAATGAATCTTCTTTTTAGGCACTGATGCAATTCCCTTAGGTTTCCAATTATAACTAATTATATAAATTTTTGCTTTTAGAGAAACCGTGCCTTTGGGGTAAAGTAAGGCAAGTGTGAGTAGAAGTGGGACAAATAAATTTAAAACAACATTTTAACACAAATTATTAAATAGAAATTTATGAAATTTCCAAATTGACATAAAAATGTTCAAAAGCTTCCACCAATCGAAATAATCAAATGGCAAGAGGAAGAAACGAAGCATAAATATATATTTTTTTCTGTCCCACGTCACCCCAGCACAAAAACTTTTTTAAGATACATTTAAAAATTAGGTTTTCTAGTGCATGCTGGAAAAAAAAAGCAGTTTCTGCTAAATAGAGGGGGAAAAATTGAACTGTTTACATTAAATAACATTATTTAGGCACCACTCCTAATTAGAAATTTCAGGCTGTATATACTTTGTTCCATGTAACACATTCTTGCATATAATATATGTAAGAATGTATTAAGCAAATATTTTGTGTAATTAAGTTCATACTATGACGACAGTATAATAAGTATATACATAAATAATATATGTAATAACTAATAGTACAATACATAGTACTATTAGTTATACAAAATATTTGCTTGATACATAAATACAAAAACAATAATTATGAATTTTTAAGCTCGAAAACATTAAAAATGGAGAATAAAATAAAAAATGCAAAAAAAAAAATATCGAAATAACATCTTTATTGTTGTTTAAATGTGTAAATTTATTTTACATCATAAATTAATAATAAATTTTACATCATAAATTTATTCAAACTATACAGTATAAAATGACATAATATATACTTTACTATATTATAGTATATATTCAAAAATGTATATGTGTGTACAGTAGTTATAGATAGGTGTTTAAAATAAAAATAAAAACTAGGGTTTTAAAAACAAGTGTTAGTAAAGTTTAGAGTTCTCCGGATTTCCCCGGAGATTTCCAGATTTGCCCGGAGATCTCCAGATTTGCCCGGAGATTTCCGGATTTGACCGGAGACCCCCGGACCTTAAGACAAAAAATAAGTCTCCAAAAAAAACATGAAATCTCTTCTTTTCGGAAGTTTTTATTTAATTTTTGTAAAAGTTCCAAATTTAATATTTAAAATTTGAGTATATAGAGAACTGAAAATGTAAAAACTATTAAATGTAAATTTTTTTTAGTCATTCTACCAATTTATTGAAAATACTCAAACAACACGTGTTCATTACACAATATTAAAAAAATGCGCGCGCACCCAAACTTGGAAAAACGAAAGTCGCGACCGTTAAATTACATTGAGGTTATAAAGTATTTTGGTCGCTACTACGCAAGAAATTATTCCTTGAATTTAAATTTGAAGTTTAAAAAGTAAAAGAATTGCTACTATCAATAATGTCGTCCAAAAAAATGTTTTCCAGCTTAAAAAGGGAGAAATGGTTGTGAAGCCAAATTCAAAATTTGCAAGCTGGATCATATTTTTCTGTTTACGAAATGATTTGTTTTTGCAAATCATTTTCGAAATGATTTGCGAAACAAATCATTTCGTAAAAATACTTACGAAATAGTTCCTTACGGAAAAAGCATTCCGGAATGTGCAGTTACGATAAAGACGCAAAAGATTTTATGTTACGATATATTTAAGATATTAACTGTTAACAGTTTAAAAAAAAAAAAAAAAAAAAAAAAAAAAAAAAAAAAAAAAAGCAGCCGTGGCGCAGTGGTAGCGCACTTGCCTCAGAAACGTAAGATCCGTGGTTCAAACCCACCTCTGGGCAAGTTTTGCGACATCGGTTAGGAAGGAGGCGTGAACTTCCTATTAAATGCTCTTCCGCGGTGCTCTGTGATAAGACCGTAAGGACTTCTTGGGGTACCTAAATCAACATTAAAAAAAATAAAATAAAATAAAATAATATATAATAAAATTATAAAAAAATGTTGTCAAATGATTCTTCAAATGTTTATACAAATATACCTAATATATATATATATATATATATATATATATATATATATATATATATATATATATATATATATATATATATATACAGTAAAATCGCGTTAAGTTGGACTCTCAATGAACAAATAAACAGTATGCCTTTCTTTTTAAAAAGTATAAAGAGGATGTGTGATAAACAATTAAATACTTTATTATAAAGAACGAGAGATCTCTCTAAAGGTAAATGATATCAGAAAGAGTAAAAAGAGAAGAAATATATGTGAAACAGCGGGATGTGAACCTGGGTCTCCGCGGCCAAATGTCTTAACTGAATGATACGTTCATTCAACTAAGTGAATAGTAATATTTATTTATTATATAATTAAGAAACTATATAAAACAGAATTTACAGAAAGAGATACGTATGCAAATAGGATTCTATATATCAGGAAAATGAATAGTAATGTGAACCTTTAGTTGCTTATAATTAATATCTGGACTCGAAAACTAGTTACTTTTAATGGAACACAATAGGCTGTAGGAGCCTCAGGGAAATTATATTCAGAAATGATTATATTAGACTCAGAGTTAGCTAGAAATTATTACAAAGTGTTTAGGACAGATGTCTAGTGCAAAAAGCATAAGATTTAAAGCAAAATGATTTACATTATTTGAAAAAGTTCTTTTACGTACATTTCATCATAATTTAAGTAGAACTTAGTAAAGTAAGGGAAACGTGTAGAATTAAGCACAACGAACTCAATCTTAAAAGAATAACTAACAGAAGAGAGGTTGTCACTATTATGAAGGTGACGAAAGATCTGTAATATAGAACGTGGAGGTCAAAAAATGCTATCTTAAGTAAAAAGAGTTTGATGAACAAAAGTTACAATGGCTGCGGGATGCGAACCCGGATCTCTGCGGCGAATTATCACGTATCTAACTGATTGAACTATACGATCTTATACTTAAATTTATATCTTATTAAAATTAAAAAACAATATTTTCTAAGATCTATACTTCGAAAAGCGTATTCAAACAGGACTCTACATACCTTTAAAATCTGCTAGAACTTTAGTAACGTGCACACTTTTAGAAATTATTGAAATAGGTATATTTTATCAGAAATATGCTTAAGCTAAAGCATATTTTTGAGCCTCTTTTTGCTATTTGCTTAAGCATATTCGAACCTGTTTCAAAAATTTCATACGCTTTAAAAAAAACAAAACATGTATATTCCTACCCATCATTCTTATTTTTACTATACGTAATGAGTTCAAAAAACATCGTTATATATATTTATTATGGCACGTTTCGTAAGTTTATTTCAGTTAAGAATTCTTTCGTATGTTGTGATCCGAAATACTTTCGTTTCGAAAGAAATTTTATTTTTTATCAATATTTCTAAAAATAAAACCATAAAAATTTAATATGTTATTATACTGAAAATAAAAATTCATTATAAACATTTTGGGATTTAAAGATGTTAATTTTTACAATTAAAATCAGTCTGGCAAACAAATTTTCTTTATAGACTTCAAAACGTCGTTTGGCGAAAATGTTTGTTTCGCAAGTGCGACTTCCGAGACCGCTACTTTCGTATGTTGCAAAATAGTTTTGTTTCGTATCTCAACTTGCAAAATGCTAAATACGGAAGTGGCTTTTGCGAAATGAACATCGGCGATTTTAAATGTTTTGTAACATTCGGTACGAAAAAATGTAATTCCTCGTTCTCAATCTCCTTACGAAAGAATGTTGTTTTTCCGGAATTGCACGAAATCCTCCGGTTAACAACCCTTATCAAGACTCGATAATTGTAAGACAACAATAAAATTGAATGTGAACATTTTGCGACTAATTAGGTTAAATTTAATTACAAAACCAGCCATTAGCACTAAAAAAACAAATGCCTTTTTTTTTTTAATTTTTTTTTGAAAAAAAAAGGTTTTTATTTATTTAATTTTCTTAAAAGGGGTCCACTCTGGTACTACCTTGCTAAATAATGGCACTCCCCATTCAATTAACACGCATTGTAAAATCTACTCTTTTTCGATGATTATCTTATGGCAACCAGGGCCGGTGCACCCTATAGGCGAACTAGGCAATCGCCTAGGGCGCCAAAGTTTAGGGGCGCCTAAAAATTGATAAGTTTTTTTATATGCTAACAAAAAACAACGCTTTTGCTCATTGAGCAATATGTACGTACAACGTACGTACAAACTTCCTAATGGAGAAGAATTATGTCGCAGCTGGCTCTTGTATTCAGTATTAAAAGACTCAGTGTTTTGTTTCTGTTGCAAACTGTTCAGTATGAAAGCAATTGGCATATTATCACTAACTCATACAGGTTCAAGTGACTGGAAAAACATGGCGGCAATTCTTTCTTCCCACGAGAAAAGTCCTGAACATTTGCAGAACTATCAAAAGTGGAAAGAACTACATCAGCGATTACAGAGGGATAGTACAATAGATGCAGAAATTTTGCGCAAGATGAAGAATGAAGAAAAGTATTGGCAGCAAATACTAAAGCGTTTAATAGCATTAGTGAGAGTTTTGGGTGAACAGAATCTAGCTTTTCGCGGTACAAATGAAACATTGTACAGTGCCAATAACGGGAATTTTTTAAAATTTGTGCAATACTTAGCCATTTTTGATCCATTAATGAACGAACATCTACGAAAGATATCAAATAAAGAGCTTCATACACACTATCTTGGCAAAGATATACAAAATGAACTTATTCAACTGTTAGGAAATGCTATTAAGAAAGAAATCATACAAACAGCAAATGCAATGAAATATTTTTCAATAGTTCTCGATGGTACTCCTGACTGTAGCCATGTTGAGCAAATGACAATAATTATTCGTTTTGTTAAAGTTGATTCATTGAAAAAGGAGTTTAGTATCAAAGAACATTTTTTAGGCTTTGTACCTTTAAAGAAAACAACTGGAGCCTATATGGCAGAAACAATAATACAACAACTAGAAGAAATGGAGTTACCTATTGATAATTTACGTGGCCAAGGCTACGATAATGGCGCAAATATATAGGCAAAAATAATGGTGTTCAAAAGAAAATATTAAACATTAATCCTCGAGCATTGTTTGTTCCTTGCAGCGCGCATACTCTTAATTTGGTTGTTAATGATGCTGCAAATTGTTGTCTAATGGCTACAAGTTTTTTTGATATTGTCCAACGTGTGTATGTATATTTTTCGTCTTCAACACATCGGTGGGTAGTTTTCACTAGTCATCAACCTACGTTAACTGTTAAACCTCTAAGTGAAACAAGATGGGAAAGCAGAATAGATGCTATAAAGCTTTTGCGATATGAACTTGGTAAAATATATGATGCACTGCTAGAAATAGCTGATGATACTTCTCTAACTGGATCCTCAGGAAGCACTGCACGCAGTGATGCTAAAGCACTTGCGAATAGTGTTACAAAGTTTAAGTTCGTGGTTTCAATTGTTGTATGGTACAACATACTTTTTGAAATCAATATAACAAGTAAGCAGCTCCAAGCTAAAGATTTGGATATTCATGCTGCTGTACAACAGTTACAACACACACAAGCCTATTTGGTTGACTGTAGGAGTGACATAGATTTTGCAAGAATGCTAGTGGATGCTGCTGAAATTGCTAAGGATTTGGAGATACCACCAACCTTTGAGGCAGAACCACGATTACGGCGGAGAAAAAAGCAATTTGCATATGAAGCTGAAGATGAGCCTGTGCAAGATCCAAAACAAAATTTCAAAGTGAATTTTTTCTTTGCTATACTTGACACAGCAATAAGGTCGGTTGAAGAAAGGTTTGAACAAATGAGAACAATTGAATCTGTATTTGGTTTCTTATATCATATTCATGGTCTACAGAGTAAAACTTCACAAGAAATATTGGAATGTTGCATGAAACTAGAATCTGCTTTACAACATGGTGATAACAGAGATTTAGTTGCATCAGATTTGTGTGGCGAACTACAGTCTATTGCACGACGACTTTCTGAAGAAACAAAGTCTCCTCAAGATGTTATTCGATTTATTCTTTGCCAAAACTTGGAAGACAGTCTACCCAACCTTTGTATTGCTCTTCGTATTTTGCTGACATTACCTGTTTCTGTCGCTAGTGGAGAGCGTAGTTTTTCCAAACTAAAATTGATAAAGACATACATTCGATCATCCATGTGCCAAGACAGATTGGTTGGGTTGGCAACTCTTTCCATTGAGCACGAACTTGCAGACAAGCTGGACCTGAAGGACCTTGTGATCGATTTTGCCCAGAAAAAGGCACGCAAAGTACAGTTTTGATATTTTTAAATAAATAAATACTTACCTGGTGTTTTCACTTTATTTTGCATTTTATTTTGATTTTTTTACGTAAAAGGGGTGCGACCTTTGAAGTTTTGCCTAGGGTGTCATAACCCCTTTGCACCGGCCCTGATGGCAACCCTAGTAAAGTTACACTTTGACATTTACAAAAAATTGAATCTAACAAGCAGAAAAAAGAAGCAAAATAGGAACATATTAAACTAAAATTAAAAAAAAAAAATTTAAGATTCAACGCTCAGAAGTTTTTTAAATGAGCTTCAAAGAAGTAAACAAATAAGGCTTAAGCCAAATACACAATGATTGCATAAAAAACATTTTTTAATATACTTAGACATTTTTCTTCTTCTTATTTTTATTTTATTATCAATAAACTGATTAATCCCAATAATAATTTTATTCAAGGAATAAGATTTAGATATTTATTAATACCTAAAATTATAAATATATTGTTGTTATTAAATAAATATTTTCGTAACTATAGACCGTAGCCATGTTTAAAATCTAAACTTTTGAAAGTTTTAATGCGCTTGCGTATAAAAACTTGCCGCTCTTAAACGACCGTGATAAAGCTATTCCATAAAGATACCCGGTGGGAAATGAGCTTGAATATGAGGGACTAGCTAGCTTTATAGCAATTTTAAAGCAATTTTTTTTTCTTATTTTATTCTTTACTAATGTCTCTAACCTCTTAGAAAATTCGATTTTTAGTGTTGATTCTATTATAATTATGAGAATAATTGAACTTTAAACATTGTGATTTTGTAGCAATGTGTGGCTAGCTACATATCGTAGCTTTGTAGCTAGCTACAAAATATCTACAAATCTATAGCTGGTTGATAGTTACATACCAAAATTTTTTTGATAGCGATTTTATTACGATATGACGGTAGCTACAATAGCCTGTGAGTCTTTAGCTTATTAAGCTAGCTGTCCTCGTAGCCAAATAGCTGTCTTTATCATTACAAATATCGATAGCTTTTTGCAAACTTAAAAAAAGCTAGCGATCCTCGTGGCCAAGTTGCTGTCTTTATTGTAACAATTATAGCTAGCTATTTGCTAGCCGATTTCCCACCGAGTATACACAAAAAATTTGTTTCACTTCATCCCAGGTTCTACAACTGGACTGTTAAGCGCCAAACCTGCCTATACAACAAAGTTGAAAAAAATGAGTTTATGTTAAAAAAAGATTTATGTAGTGTTTTTTTGCTAACACCAATATACTATGATTAAAATTTTTAGGCGCATTTGACTGCAAATACTTTTAATTTTTTCAGTTTAGTGGCTTTTGTTAAAGACTTTTAAACTTTGCGTCTAATTATCTCGTTTCAACATATTCGTTGTATAAGCAGGTTTAGCGCTTAATCATCCAATTTACTATTCAGCATGCTTATAAATGATTGGTTTGCACTTGAAACTTTGCGCTTATTCTTTAACTTTTGTAACCTTTTGATGCACATTGCCTGTTAAGGCGTGTATTCAGGTTTGCGCTTACTTAAACTTTTGCAGCAAGTTCTTATAAATGCAAATTTGAAGATGTTAAGCTTGCATTTAAACAGCCGGATATACTTTATAGATTACGTGTTACCTTGATAACTCGCCTCTCGGACCTTTTTTAAGACAATATTTTAAACCTTAATTTTTTATTGTTAATATAACATTTATACATAATATTTAATATGTTATGAGACCACACACGAGTTTTATAGTTTGTTAACAGCTGTTTTAAAGTATTATAACATGTTGCTAATTCGTTTAGTTATGAGAATTTATTTAACCATAAAAGCATTTTGATTTTCGCCTTTTTAAATTACTATTGTGGTTGACCAACCTTGTTTATATGTTAACAAATAGAAATTAATTCATGCGGGCTTAATGATTCATGCCAAGTTACTGAAAAAGATAATATCAAAACAGTGACGTAGGCAGGATTTTTTTATCTTTCAAAAAGTGTCCTTTCAGACATTGTGCGAACTGCGAACTTGTTTTGAAAAATATCGAGGTGATTGGAACCTGGAAACAAAAATATCCCAAAAATTTCTCATGGTCCTAACTTTCGAACGCTACAACATTACTAAAAGTTTAGAGTAAAAAGCCAAAAAAATATATTTATTTATAACTATTATAACCTTTACATTCTGGGTAAGGAAAACGAATTTTTTGGGATATTTTTTTTCTCAGCCTCCAATCTCCGCGATTTTTTGTTTCACATTCTCATTTGACATGAACGTACTTAAGTGAACATAAGCATGAACATACTTAAGTTTTGGATTTGCATAATGCCTGAACGTTTCATATCTGAAACATCAAAAATAATTGCCTTCGCAACAGCTTTAAAAGTAAAATACTTTAGAATTCCGTAAATTTCTAAATATTTTCTAAGCTGAAATATGTTGCATGTAAATAAAATAACGCTCTTTGCTTTTTTTAACATTACAAGGATTAGTACATACGTTTTTAGCTAAGCTTTTTGAAAAAAATTGTTTTTGTCTTCATGAGATAACGATTATCCGGACAAGATTATGATTTAAATTTTCAAAATTTTTGTTATAAAAACATTTCCGTTTGACAATTCGATAAAAGTTATATTAAAACAAAGATGCAAACAGAAATTCTTTTACAAATAAGCAATAATCTTTTATTATAACCGAGTTGCCAAGGTTATTTAATTTTTAGCAGAGTTTTATTCAAATTATATTCAAACTTTTTGTTAAATTTTTCTTTATAAAAAATTATATTTATTTTTTAACAATTACAAAACAAAATTGAATTAAAATACTTTGTTTTGGATATTTTGGTGTTCGAATTACGTTTCGATTTAAACCATTAGCCTGAACGTTTAATCGAACACCAAAAGTCCATGAAACAAGTAATTAATACAAATCAAACACCAAAAGTTTATAATTCATGTATTTTTCATTGATGAATATCAAGCTTCCTTCCGATATGGATATCCTTGCTACTTTCAAAAACTTTTAATTAAGTTTATATTTGAAAAAAGCTTTTATAATATTTTTTCTTTAAAACGAATTATGTTTTCTGTATAAAACTGTTCCTTCTCATTATTTTTAAATTATTAGAATTTTAAAGTATATTTAGCTATAAAAGTTTTGAAAAAGTTTAATCGGTTAAAAAGCATAAAACCGGTAGCTATAAAATCAGCTTTTAAAATTATTCAAATAGTCATTAATGCTTATTTCAATATTTGGAATTTAGGAATAAACTAAAAAAAGAAAAATTTTTTATTTTGTTTTGTCTTCATTTTAATTTTGCTTTTTGCCTTCATTTTAATTTTAATATTTTAAATTTTGAAAATAAAAAATACTTTATTATATTTTGTTTAGCCATAAAATCTTTATTTAATATTTAGAATTTTCTTTGACTTTTTTTGTATTTTGCGTAGTTGTTTACGTACGCAGTTTAGCAGTTCAACGCTTGCAAATGATGTCAATTGTATTTCGCGTGCGTCATTAAAAGGGCACTTATGCGGCTCAAGCCAAACAGGCAGAGGCTTTATTCTACTATTTAACAGATTTTAAGTTATAATCATTTAAAAGTTTCAATTGGGGTGGAAATGTTTACTAAGGAGATATGAGGTTACACTAATTTTTTAAAATCCAATCATCTGTTTTAATTTGATGCGAATTACGTATTCACATAAATTCTGGAATTAAAAATTGACGGAACGAATCAAAAAAATTTTTCTTTAAATCAATATTCTCTTCTAAATCAGATTTTTTTTTTGGTGGGAGGGGGGGGGGAGGTGATACTCGCTTTAAAATATTATTACTGGTAAAAACTTGAAATGCAGAAGACTTCCACTGTTATTCTATTTCTTAGCAAACCAAATGGTCCCAATGACTTGGTGACAATTTAAATGTATATGTAAATATGTATATGTATGTGTTTTAAGTTATGGAAATAGATAATAAAACAGTGAAGATAATAAGACATAGAACTTGTATTCAATGCAAATATACATATGTAACAGCTATAAATAAAAATAATTACAATTATAGCCCACACTTCTTGTTCATTGTGACATTTAAAAAGTCATTTGATCTTTGTTAAGGAGATTAAAGTGCTTTTAAATTGTTGTGATAAATGCTTAAAAACTTATGTTGCGGGTTGGTATGGGAATGAATTTCGATCCCGTGCAGATTTCTACATCAAATCTATTGCCGCACCCCTTTACAAAGCACATTTGAGCATTCCGATAATTGTTTGCTTTGATGTGTTTTGTAGTTATTAGTTTATTGCTTACAATTACAGATTGCACCTATTTTTGAAAATAGTTATAGTTATATCAAATGTTTTTTTATTTCTTATGAATAGCTAACATATAACAAAATGTCAAGTTCTATAAATTACACTTTTGCTGAAATGGGCATGCTCTCGTGGCAGCAGATGCAAAAACAATGGTCACTTGTTGGACCATATGAACAGATTACCGATGCATTTTTATCTGATGTATCAGAAGCAAACCAAATGGTTTCTAATGATTTTGTAGCAATTTTAATGTTTGCCGTGCTATTTACGCTGCATAGATACGTTGTAACCATTTGTCTGCTCAAAGTGAGTTAATTTCTGTATTTTTTTTCTTTTTAACAAAATTAATCAATATCCTTATTTTATGATAAAAGTTATTATAAAATTAATTTATGATAAAATTTGCTGACAGATTATTACTATATAACTATTATTAAAGTTAATATAGTTATACTAAAATACTATTACTGTTGTTTGTATTATTACATAAAAATATGCAGTTTTTTTTTTTTTTTTAAAAAAAAGGTTTAATATTTTCAAAAGATTGATCAATAGTATTATATTAAAGAACACTTTTCTAATATTAAAAAACAAAGTTTAAAACCTTTTGTGGTTCATAAAATATGGCCGCTAAGATTTTCTCAAAAATGTAACCTAGTGAAGCAACATTATATTTAGACTTAAAAGCTTTATATTTTTAAATGAAATTTCAGAAGAATTTTCATTTTTAAATCTTGGACAATTTTCTTATTCTTACATCATCTTTTTTTCTTTTTTTTTTTTTTTGAACCATCAAAAATATAGGATCAACACTATTTTTTAAACTGTATTTTTACCTACTAATTAGACTATTACACTTACTTAAATTGATTTTAGATAAAACATGGAAACTCATGGATAGGGTGATTTAAAAGCAATTTTTATTCAATCACACTTAATTGTGCACTGTATAATAAAACAGTTCAGAATTTAAAAATTTTTTATTCAAAAAAGAATTATTAACTGAAGCTCACCTTACCCCTCTATTTTCTTACTCATACATAATCTTTTCATCACAAGAACATTTTTATTCCTTCTACCTTTGTTTATTAGTAAAGCAGAATTGATATTCTGCTTTACTATTAAGCAAAATAAAAATTTTGTAGCATAGACATATAAAAGTCATAATCTTTAGAAATTATACAGTAATGAAACAACCTACAAAGGAACTTTATACTCAACTGTATAAATTGATTATTGCAATTTTTTCAATCTTCCACTATTCTAACCAAAGCTATTAACTTTATGCTTCTCAATTGTTTCACCCCTCTCCTATTATCTCTTCAACTTCGAGAGTAGTCCAAATTATTTGATTTATTGTAATGCTTTTTTTGAAAATGTTTGTTTTTAATCGTATATTTCACCCTTCCTTCCTTAACAATGCCGCTTATTGAGCTAGAGCTGATTTTGAAACACGAACCTCTTGGTTCTGAGCTAGAACTCTAACCACTGTGCCATAGCTTTTCTTTTACTATCAACTTGAATTGAAACATTCTCTTTCTTACCTGGATATATTAAAGAGTATTTGTCTGATTGGTAGAAGTTGTGATCTTTATTTTTTTTATTTGATAATTTTTTAAGTTTCCAAGATTTGTTTACTTTTATGGTGCAGTTCTTTTGTTTTTGATTCATCAGAGTGTAGAAATTAATTTTGTTGTTGTTGTTGCATATCTAACTCTGTCTTCATGAGCTACTAGTTTCAGGGATAAATATAAAGGCTAATAATGCTTGAAATAATTTTTTCCAAAATATTTTGCATTTTATTGTTTTTGCAAAAATATCTTTTAATTATTTTTTATTATTTTTATATTCTTTAGTATTAATTTGATTTTTTTTTTTTTTAACTTAAAATTATTGTAAATGAGCGTTGAAAACTTTTTAAAATTCTTTTAAAATTTTTAAAAGAATTTTCAAGTTTCAAATTAGAATTAAAGAATTTTAAAATAAATTCCTAAAAACAATTTGCAAATTTATAGAAAATTTTTAATCTTGATTTTGCTACAAATGAAATGAAAAAAAAAGTATGGTATTTTTCATATTCTATTTGAAATTTCTTGTTAAAATAGTTATTATTTAGAAGCTTATAATATGTTAACAACATATAAAATAGAAATAGAAAAATTTCTATGGCAAGTAAATGTCTTTGAACATATTGTCTATATATATTAGTTGAGTAACTTAACTGTAGTAATTTAACTGGTTGTTATAGTAATTGGTTATTTTGATTTAGTTTATAAGTAAATTTACCTATGATGTCAAACCCTGGTGGAAGTAGGTTCAAACAAAAAAAAAATGTCCCAAGGTCATGTGATACTTTTTTTGATCCTATTTTTAGAAAATAATACTATTAAAAAAAAAGTTCAAGGTCCAAGAAAAAAAAGACATTTTTGTAAACCGAAAAAGCCAGTATTTTTCCTTGTATATCCATTAAGCATTTTATTCAATCATGAATTGTTTGATGACTATTGCACATTTTAAAAGCTTTAAAATACTTAAAATAGACGGGCAAACATTTTAATATAGGTTTTTATATGTCAAATATTTTTATGAACAAATATATGATGTTTTGTATTCTTGTTTTTAGAAAAGAGAAATAATATTGGTTTTTCTCCAACATTTTTTTTTTTATTTATGTATTAAACTATTAATAATTTGTTATATATATATATATATATATATATATATATATATATATATATATATATATATATATATATATATATATTATATATATATATATATATATATATATATATATATATATATATATATATATATATATATATATATATATAAATGTATTATATTATATTATAAAATTATAATATATTATATTAAATATTATAGTAAATGTATTATATTATATTGTTACACAGGCTTGGACAGGAATGGCGTGCGATTGAGCGCTATTGCTGACCACGCAAATGATTTTATTTTTTGACAACTTGACCACGATTGTTTAATAAACAATGTTTATATATTTTGATGAGTTAAAAATTTAAGAAATGTTTTGAATGTAGAAACGCTAAGCTAAACTTAAACTAGAAAAAAAATTAAAAAAAAACTAACAAAAAAAAAAAAAAACTAACGAAAAAAAAATTCATAACGAAAAAAGAAACGTAAAACAAATTCATAGCGAAAAAAAAATTATATAAGCTCTAAAATGAAAATAAAAACTTAAACTCGAAGCGAAACTTTTAGTTATGTTTTTAATTAGGTATGAAATAAACGTTATTAAAACTTATCTTTTTAAGCGTCATTAAAGGGACTACCAACTTCCGAGACATGTTGTGTTCATATTAAAGAGAATGTTAAAAAAAAACGTCTAAGCAAATTTTTTTTGATTAAAACTAATTAATAAATGTATACCAAGAAAAACAAATCTTGTTGTTTTAGTCGAAGCTCGTCTTCTCCGTTTTCTCTAGTATTTTGAGTATGTAAAATAAACGCAATTTTCCAGGCGCATTATACAGACTTGATAATTTATTCAAGCGCATTTAATTCATAGGAGTTTTAGAGCATGACGTCATTGGAAATATTCTAGAAATTCTTAAAAAAATTTTACTATTAAATTTTACTCAAATAGATAACTATAGTTACTTATTTTATTAAAAGTTTATTTTATTAATTGTTTGTTAGTTTATTACAAATCTAACGAACAATTAGTTAAACCAAGCACTAAGAAAAGATACAAAAATTAAGAATATACTAATAAAATATATAATTTGTAATTAACTTTCAAAATTTTGACTATTTAAAAAATATATATTATAAAACATTTATTTTTGTAAACAAATGATAATAGTTTAAAAGTTTTACGGCTTCACAGATGTGGCTCCGAGAATGAGCCATAATATTAAAGTAATAGTTCATTTGATAATATATTCTTAAAAAAATTTATGCTAGATATCTCAAAACGCAACAAATCGTAAATAATACAATTCCTAAAACATTTCAACAGAATACTCTAGAACTTTATTTCGCTTAGTCAGCGTGTTTTTTGAACCAATAGAATTAGTTTGTTTGCAAATTTGGCGGGTTTTTAGTGTTCGCAAATATTCTTTTTATTCTTCCGCAAGATGTTTTAAGAAATTATGTTTCCATGTATGTCTGTAAAATAAAAAATAATATATATTAATTTTTTAATTTTTAAGCCCCCACTATAATATATATTGGATGTTATAATGGAAATATAAATAATGAAATAAGATCACCTCAATACCAAAAAAATACATTTTTGAAAATCAGAGAAAAAATGCGTTAATAATTTTTTTTTTAATATTTATTTTATCTAATATTTTGAAAGAAAAACTTATAACAAAAGAAATCAAAATACACGTGGTGTAGACGATTATTTAAAAAAAGTCGCGCAAATAAAATACTATTTTGTTTTTAATTTTATTTTGTTTTTAATTTTGTTTTACAAACACATTTTAGACCTTTAAAATATAATTAAAAATGAATATGATTTGAAAATTGTATGTAAAAAATAACAATCAGTGTTTTAAACAAACAAAAAAAAAATCTATGACGTCATACACTAAAACTCCTATGAATTAAATGCGCTTGAATAAATTATCAAGTCTGTATAATGCGCCTGGAAAATTGCGTTTATTTTACATACTCAAAATACTAGAGAAAACAGAGAAGACAAGCTTCGACTAAAACAACAAGATTTGTTTTTCTTGGTATACATTTATTAATTGGTTTTAATCAAAAAAAATTTGCTCAGACGTTTTTTTTTTTAACATTCTCTTTAATATGAACACAACATGTCTCGGGGCTTGGTAGTCCCTTTAAAGTTACGCAAAACGTTTTTAAATTAAATAACAAATTACTACGAATGATTGGTTTAATAAAAGAACAAATTTTATTGAATTTATTAAAAAGTGTTTTATATATTTTTAAATTGTATAAACATTTATTTTGTCAAAAAAGTCGCAAAAAAAAAAAAATTGTTTAAAAAATAACGTAGTCTTTTTAAAATAGTAATTTTTACTCATTTCATGCTTTAATTAGTGAGTCTAATTAAAAAAAAGGTTTTGAACTTTTTTATTTGTAAAAATAGAAGAAAAAAATAATAATAAAATGCGCCTGCGATTTAAATAAATTAACTCCTGACAAGCATTTTAATTTAATTTTAATTTGAGCATTACAACTTTATTAACTAGCACTTCGCGTGATGAATTTAAAAATTATTGTAAAAGATTTAAACTCATTTCTAAAGAAATTGAAAAAAAAATTGTTTACAAAAAATAAAATGTTTA